TTTGATTTGTGTCTTTCAAAGAATTTGTCTATTTCATAGAGTTGTTCATAATGTCACCTTATTATCCTTTTAATATCTTTAGAATCTATAGTGATGTTACCTCCCTCCTTCCTGATCTTGACAAATTGTCTTCTTTCTTGTTCCTGATAAGTCTGGCTAGAAGTTGATCACCTGTATTGGTCTCGTTAGAAGAATAAGCCATTAGTTTAAATGATTTTTTCTTTTTTCTTTCATTGATTTCTGCTCTTTTATGATTTATCTTCTTCTGCTCACTCTAGGCTTGATTTTTACTCTTCTTTTTCTAGTTTCTTAAAGATGGGAGTGAGGTCATTCATCTGTGGTCTTTCTTTTCTAATACAGTGATATGGTGCTATATGGTGCTATAGGATTCTCCCCCAGCTACTGACTTTATAGCAGCAAATGTACTTTATATACTGTCTTTAAACCTACATTTGGTTCAAAATACTTTGTAATTCCCCTTTTAATTTTTTTCCTTGACCCATGGGTGATTAAGAGCCATGTTATTTAGTTTTTAAACATTTGGGATTTTCCAGGATCATTTTGGTATTGATTTCTAATTTAATTCTGTTGTGGTCACAGAACATAAATGGTAATATTTGGTTTCTTTAAAAATAATTATATTAACTGTCTCCATATCCCCCTCTGCCAATTCTAACATCTGTGTCTATTTTAGGGAGGTTTTCATTGATTCATTTTCAGCATACAGTGTTTCATATCCTCCTGACTCTTTGTGGCAAGGGTAATCTTTGGTTGGGTGCCGGACACTGTCAATTTTACCTTGTTGGGTGCTGCATATTTTTGGATTCCTACAAACATTCTTGAGCTTTATTCTGGGATGCAATTACGTGGAAACAGTTGGATGGTTTTGGGTGTTGCTTTGAAGATGTGCTGTGCAGCCTGAGAGCCACACGAAATTTTCTAGTCTGGCTGTGTGAGCTCTAGGTGCTGCTTCTTCTGACCCTCTTAAGTTTTTGAACTCACCAGATGGTGCCCTTAAGGTGTGTGCATTTCGTTGTACAAACATTTCGTCTCAGAAACAATTAAAAAATATGAGCCTCTAATAATATGCACATTAAAATATTTAGGAGGGAGGTGTACTGGTGTCTGTAATTTACTTTAAAAAATCCATAAAAAAATAAGACTTCGTGTGGGTGGGTAGGGGGTAGATAAGTCGATAGATGTGCTAAATAAAGTAAGTCAGACAAGAAAACTACTGTATGATCTCACTTATATATGTAATCTCAAAAAAAAATTCAAATGCATAGAAAAAGAGATCAGACCTATGGTTACCAGAGGCAGGGAGAGGTGAGAGGGGGAAACTGGATGAAGGGGGTCAAATGGTACAAGCTTCCAGTTATAATATGCATAAGAACCAGAGATGTACTGCACAGCACGAGGACTACAGCTCATACCGCCGTAGGGCATGGAGGGAAGCTGTTGAGAATGTAAATCCTAAAAGTTCTCATCACAAAGCAAACAAAAACAAAAACAAAACAAAACAAAAAAACAACCTTTTTCTTTTTCTATCTCCATAAGATGAGGAATGTTAACTCACTACGGTGATGGTGATCATTTCACGGCATATGTTAAGTCAGGTCATTCTGTTGTACACCCCAAACTTACGTAGTGCTCTGAATCAATAATATCTCAACTAAAGTGAAAAAATAGGGGCAGCTGGGTGAGCTGCCCAGGTGCCCCCCACTGTCTCCTTTCACTGAGCTTTCCGGCGGATGAGTTGGGGTGACGACTGAATGAGGGTTGGGGGTGGGCAGGAGTGGCTCGGTGTGCCTCTGTCACCTGAAGTCGGGCACACGGGGAGAAGCTGCCTTCGGAGAGCGGTTCTGTGCTGCTATGGTCAGTCTCTCAGGACCTAGAGGGTACAGGGGAGTGTGGGTGGCTGGGCAGTCGAGGGCAGGCTGGTGAAGCCGGGATGGCCTGGCCATCACCTCCTCCCCCGGCAGCGAGCCTGCTCCGGGTGGGCCCGTGACACCCGAGTGTCAGAGCGTGGGAACCCGGGGCCGGTGAGTATTTGAATCGATGGCCGGGCTGGAGACCTGGAAGGCGTGCTCACCACTGCAACTACCAATATGACGGTTGGATCCAGATTTGAAAAGGTCTCAGTAAATTAAGAAAATATTGAGAAGGGGAAAGGAAAAACTCCTTTGTGTTGTATAAAAATGGAAAGAGCTTGGTGAACCAAGCAGTTTACCAGAGTCAACCCTACGGATGGCCGCTAGCGTCGACCCAAATTTAAGCCACGTCGGTAGGTGACTGCTCTCTGGGCTGACGTGATGAGTGGGCCAGAGCCAGCACAGATGTGACCAAACCAAGGTGAGCACAGAGTGGGGTGGGCGCCCACCCAGGCAGACGGTGTGCGGACGACAGCACCGCATGGCCCAAGAGCATGGGGATGGTCCCCCGTGTCCCAGCAGCTTCAGGCTTCCCGACAGGCCTCCTTTTGTTTCGGTTGGACAAGAAGAAAGTCAATGAAGGGACAAAGCTTAGGGTTTGAGGCCAACCCAGAAAGTCGTAAAAATATCCACGACTCGAGGTGTTTCCTTGCCTGCCAAGAGGAATGATGTTGAGATGGAAAGGGGCAAAAGGGACAGTGGTGACAGGGCAATGGTGTCCAGTGGAGGAAAGGAAGTGTGGGAGCAGCAGGACTGTCTACCGAGCTCCCTGCTCCCGCTGCGGACAGATTAGCTCCGTCCGGGGCGCTGCTGAGCTACTGGCCAACTTGGAAGAATGGGAACAGGACCAAGAAGGGGACACGGGGGAGGTAAAGAACGCATCTAATTTTCCAAAGGAAAAGAGGACAGTTTTTTCCAGCTTGAAGCGGGTTCTCGGCACGGTGTTACAGGGCTGATGGAATAGGAGGGCGATGGGCGCGTGGGTGCGGGGGGTGCTGGGCTCCTAGGCGGGAGCCGGGAACCGCATCAGGCTACGGGTAAATTAGTTCCCTCTGTCCCTTGTCCCTGGGAACCGGTACCCAGCGCCCACTGTGCGCCAGGCCCAGGCACGGTGCTGCTGTGCGCTAGGAGGGGCGAGCACCAGCCGCGGCCCTGATTATTCTAGAAGTTAGAGCTGTGGTTGGGCACGAAGGGAGCTGGCGTGATGCTGTGAGAGGGGAAGCCACGTGGAGTTTCGGAGGCCCTGTGTGCTGAACGCAGGAACATGCGGGGTGTCGGGGGTGGCCGGGAAACCACGGGGGACGGGCTGCCAGGAGGGCCCCAAGGGGTCACTGCACCGGTGGCTTCCCAGGGAAACAGGTCACCGGATAGATGTGAACCGGGCCACACGGTCCCACGCCCCGGGGCAGCACAGCCAGGACTGACCCGCCTGAACTCTGACCTCGTCCACTTTGACCCACACGTCATCGAGGTTCACATAACGAGCGGCCCAAACCGAGCGAGCGGCGCAATTACGGCTCAGGGTGACTTGCACGTTCCCGCACAGGTCACCGTTTGTGGCTTCTCTGTCTGCCCCCAGGAGGACACCCACGGGCCTGGAGGAAAGAGGTTTGCCTCTGCCATTGGTCACTCTCCTGGGCATTGATGGAGACGGGGTCACCTGCCTGATGACGTCTCTTGGGGTCCATGGTCAAGACCATGCGTCCTAAGGCACGAGTGGCTGGCACCACTCCCCTCCCGCAGTCCCACGAGGCCCCAGCAGAGGCGGGAATGGGGACACGGCCCCCTGCGGGGTCCCCAGAGCCACTGGGCCCATAGGGAGCCTCAGCAGCAGCGTCCCCCCTGGTAAGGCCTGGGGTCAGTCGCCATGTCCGCCCCCCGCCTGCCTGTCCGGGGGACAGAAGCCACAGCCTTTACGCCCAAGTGGGTGACAAAGCATAAGCCTGGAGGAAAGCTACGATGCACAAGGAGGGGTCTCTGGGCCTCTCATCACGTCCCTAAGTTGGTGAGAAGGCCCTACGTCAGCGACATGCTCCACACCCTCCCTTCGTGGCTGAGAGCCCGCGAGGGCGCAGACCCTGCCTCGCCCACGGTCTGTCCTGAGCAGGACTGCAGCCCTGGACCCTGGGGGCTCCCCGGGAGACGCTTGCAGCCTAGATGGTTGGACGTGTGAATGTCTTATATGTAAACACAGATTAACCGGGCGCCTGGGGTGCGTTCCTGGCTCCCCAAGTTACGCCCTTACGACAGACCAACGAGGGCCGTCAGGTGCATGCCGGCTCCCCGTTACCGTGAGCGCAGGATGGAGTCGGGGAAGGAAGTGGGTGCTGGCCGTCCACCCGGGCCCTGCACTCAGGAGGGGCAGGTGCCACTCAAGAAGGACCCGCAAGTGCTCTCACCAGAGCTGGAAATTTCTCCCACGGATACGGAGTCCGAGAAATTATCTCGTTCACGCCCTGAAGGCAAATGTACTTTTAATTGCCTTGAAAAATGCCAGTCGTTTTTTGACTTTTTTTTTTTTTTTTTCTAAATAGGCTCCACTTCCAACGCGGGGCTGGAACTCAGGACCCTGCCATCAAGACCTGAGCTGAGACCAAGAGTCAGGTGCTCAACTCACTGAGCCAGGTACGCGCCCCGGTGCCGGCCTTGTCTAAGGATGATTCCTTCTGTGTCAAACCGACCCTGTTGCATTTTCCCGTAAGTAACACCGCTGCCAACGCAGAACTTGTATGATATGGGGGCGGGGGGGGGGGCTTCTGAGTTTCACCCCGATGGTCCTGCATCTCTGAGGGTCCTGCCAGAAAGGCGGGGCACCCCAGGGAGGACGAAGAGGTTGGCCTGACAACAGGCCGCCGGCCTCCCCTGGACCAGAGCGGAGCGGGTGGTGCAGATGCAGTTAGGGGTGCAGGTGCGGAGGGGACCCTGCTGGGACCCTGGAGCTGGTCTGCGGGCGACCCCATGGCGAAGGTGCTCTCCCTCTGCTCCCTGGGGCGAGGGACTTACTGCCACGTGGCTCCTGGGTGACCTCCCAGGCCCCCCACGAACGCTCGCACGGCCACCCACTGTCACCTTTCTCAATCTTGCGGCCCCTGTGCCGGAGCGGATGGCGTCCATCAGGGCCTGCCTGGCTTCAGCGGGGCTGCCCGAGCTGGACCTGGACGCCGTCCTGGGCGCGGGGGGAGCCTGGGTGGCCGGAGGGCGTGGGGCCGGCGGGGCCGGCGGGGCCGGGATGCCAAGCTCAGGTAGTGCTGGGGGCTCCAGCGGCGATCCACATTCCTGCTGTGACAGCTCGGCGTCCCGGAGGCTCCGCAGCTCCTCGGAGGCGAAGGAGGACACCTAGCAATGACGGGTACACGATAAGGTCCCAGAGGGCATCTGGGGGGGCGCCCGCCGCCTCGCTCAGCCCGCAGCGCACCCGCGGGTGCAGCCTCGCTGCCTCAGCTCCCCAGCCGGCGCTGGGGGCAGGGAGCGGGGTGGCAGCGCCGCCTCCCCGAGCCACCCTGCCCTTCTGCTGCGCCTCGGCGGGTGAGCACACACCGGAGGCCACCTGACCACTCCGCCCGGTTTTCGGAGAGTAAAACATTGTCACCCTGGGCCTCGGGTTGTGCAGCGGGACGCTGGAGAACTGTGTCCTGCCCCCAAGCCCGAGCACCTGGGCTCCCGAGGCCCGGCCAGGCGAGCGTCCCGGCAGCAGCCCCTGTGCCCGGAGGTGAGGCAGCCCCGCAGCCATGCCGGGTCCCGAGAGGGCACGACGCGGCCCAGCCGGCCTGGCAGGTGCACGGCTCTGGGGGTGACTGGCCCTCAGCCACACTGGGTCCCTGAGAGTGGGGGACACGGCCCAGCTGGCCGGGCAGGTGCATGGCTCTGGGGGCATCCAGCCCTGCAGCCACGCTGGGTCCCCAAGGTGTGACGTGGCCCCAGCCGACCCGGCAGGTGCACGGCTCTGGGGGCGCCCAGGCCTCAGCCACACTGGGTCCCCGAGGGGGCAGGACACGGCCTGGGCCAGCCTGGCAGGTGCACGGCTCTAGGGGCACCTGGCCCTCAACCGCACCGGGTCCCCGAGAGGGTGGAACATGGCCCCAGCCAGGCAGGTGCACGGCTCCAGTGCACGGCAGGTGCAGGAAGCCCAGGCCTCACGTGCAGGGGCTGCCCCTCCCCTCAGCCACACCGGGTCCCCAAGAGGGCAGGATGCAGCCCGAGCCAGCCCAGCAGGTGCACAGCTCCGGGGTTGCCCGGGCCTCGCGCGCAGGGGCTGTCTCTCTCATGGTGGCTTAGCAGATGCTCCTGACCCGGGGGAGGGGGCGGCCCCGGCCTGTGTGGCGCCGCAAGGGAGCTGCGGGGATGGGGGACGGCGCCACCGCGCCCGGACGGCCTCCTCTTACCTTCCGCAGGCTGCAGGCCCCGCTGTGCCCTCGGATGGCTGCCAGCAGCGCCGAGCGCTCGCCCGCTGGCTCCGCGGAGGACGTCTTCCTCGGGCCGCCCTCGGAGCCGGGTTCTGCAACCTGGAACACTCAGGGTCAACACGGGTCACCCGGAAGGGGAATGCGGGCTGGGGGCGGCCCGCAGGAAAAGTGGTAGCTGCCCGGAGGGCTCTGGGGTGATGCACAGCCCCCCGCCCCCCCGGAGGAGGAACACCTGTCGCGGGGCGCTGGGGAGGGAACACTGCAGACTGGGCTCCGGGCGCCTAAGGAGCAAAGGGCCCGCGCGCGGGTGGCTCGGCACGACGGCCTCGTGCAGCCGGTGTGCGCCCTGAAGCCTCGCAGGCCTGAATGAGGATCCTGGTCCCCGCCGTCCGGCAGCGTGACCTAGGGCGAGCCCTCGACTGTGCCCTGCCTCGGTTCCCCATCTGCAAAATGCAGCAAGGCTCTCCCCATCTTGGCCTTCAGAGCCGAGTCCCCGGTACGTTGGGGGTGGGGTGGGGGCAGCGTCACAAACCGTCCCTGTCGTTACTGAAGGGCGACCCTCCGAGCTGCAGAAGTGCAGGAGCGTCAGGTGCGAGGGGCCCTGGCCTGACTCCTCATGGACTCACCCCTGGGTCCAGGACCGCTCAGGGATGCTCTGCCCCGACCCCCCGACCCCCACCCCGCCGCTCCCCTGGGCCCGGATGTGGACATGTTATTGTTGGTCCCCAGGGGAGTCGGGGGCTTAAAGGCAGGGGGTCGACCCCAGGCTGTTGGTTTGTGTCCCCCCTGTGGTTCTACTCTGAGGCAGCTGGGGGGAACCGGAACCCGGGCACCCGCCCTGCTGTCCCGCTCGCCCCTCCCCTCCTCCGGTGCCCCCCGGCACCTGCGCCCACGCCTGTGCCCTTGCCTGTGCCCTCACGTGGGCCCGCTGCTCACCTTGCGCAGCCTGTCCTTCCCTCCTGCCGAGTGGATGGCCTCCATCAGGGCGCTGTGCAGCGACGTGTCTTTCGGAGCTGGCCTCTGGACCACGGGGCGGAATTTCTTCTTTGGCCCGAAGATGCTGGGGGGCAGGGTGCCATCGGGTTCGTGTCCTCCTGCGCACGGCGCACTGGGTTTTGCCTCCCGTTCCAGGGGCTCCTGCCTGGTGCCGTCATTGGTGTCCAGCCTGCCCGGGGAGCGAGGGGGCTCGGTGTGGAGGGGGACCCACCTGGACCCATTCGCCAGGGTCCTGCCAGGGGTCTGGTCGTCTCCCGAGCGGGGGCGGGGGGGACCGTCCAGCGTGCACTGGGGGGCAGATGCTGGGCTGGTGCCGGGGCGGCCTGGGCTTTGCCTTCCCTGGAGGCTGCAGCTCTGCGCCGTGCAGACGCGATCGTGCTGGGAAGCAGTGACCGGGGGGACACAGGGGCTCCTGCGGAGGCCAGCGGGAGGGGCCTGGCCGGACGATGCTCCCTCGGGGCTGCTGCCCTGGGCACCCCCGACTGCCGCCCCCGGGTCAGCACGGGCAGGAGGCTGTGGGGCCGGCGTCCGGCCTTCCGCGTCCTGCTGGGCGTTCCCGGGCGTCCTCACCGCAGCGGTCGGGGCGCCCTGGGGCCCGATGCGCTTGGCAATGGCAGAGGCCACGTACTGACTGGAGGTCCTCCTCTGAGGCTTCAGAAATGAGACTTCCGTGGCGCTCGCTGCTGGCACGTTCACGGGACAAGTGGCCGGGGCGGGCGGCCGGCTTCTGGCCTCCTCTGGGCGTGTGGGCTGCTGCGGGGGCCGCGGCGCTGCCGGGCCCGGGAAGCTCGGCTCCGCCCCGCGTCCCACGTCTCGAGGCTGCGGCTTCGGGGGTGCGATGGGGCCGGGGGTCCCCTGGCCGGAGCGTGTCTCCGTGGAGCCGGACCTCCAGAATTCTTTGACTTTTCCAACGGGCTGGGTTTCCACGTCGAGAGTGGATGACGACGGGGTTATGGTCCTGCCCCCGTGTGCGTGGGGACTCACCAGATTCCCCAGCTCGTCGATCTTGATGGCACCCGTTGAGAGCGACACTCCTCGGTCGTAACACCTCATCTCCGACCTCGGGGGGACGATTTTGTACGTCGTGAGGCCGTATTTCAGTCCGTAGCTTCCCCCGGGGCTGGGGTCCCGTTGATACCAGCGCGGTGGAGCTGGGCCACTACCTGCCCCCTGGGCCTCCTTGCCCCTCGCCGGCTGCGGCCTCGCCGCCTCGTGGGCCCGCACCTTCCCGCCGAGGCCAGGGCCGGGCCCCTCGCCGCCCCCCTGTGCGTCTGGGGGGTGCGTGTGCAGCGCCGCCACACAGCCCGTCTCGGGCTCCATTTTATTCAGATTTTCAGCATCACAGGGGTTGGCCGAGGCGGGCTTGCTTTCTGTCCCGATGTCATGGGGAGGAGCGGGTGAGTGGGGCACGTGTGTCCTCCTTCCGAGTGGCCGGCTGTGCTCCTCCTGTGGGGGCACGGGGGGCGTGGGGGGCGCCCCCCTGTCAGCCACGCCCCCCAGGTCAAAAGAACCAGCGTTGTTGTTTCTGTTGGAAAACAGCCCCGAGTCCACGGGGTCATCCAAAACCTCCCCGATGAAGGTGACGGGGATCACGTCGGCCTCCCCGTCGGGGCCGGTGGCGTCCGGCACGCGGTGGTGGGACACGCCGCTCATGGGCCCGGTCGTCACGCGGGGGGTCCCTTCTCGTTCTGCAAAGAGGGACAAACAAGCACAGGTTGGCATCGCTGGGAACGGTTCCCGGGCCAATTAGTACAACATTTTTGCCAACATCCTTCAATTATGAACGAGATCTGCGGGTTGGGGCCCCCGGAAACAGCCTCTGCATGGAACCTGAAGGGGACTTTGGGGTTTCGACCTTCAGCTTGCTCTCGTTCATCAGAAGCACCGCGAGCCACATGGGACGACGTGCTCACGCCTTTAAGACGTAGGTGATGAACCTCGGGCATCTCAGAGCCGGCTCTGAGGGATGCAGCACACGTGGTCCGAGCCACAGGGACACGGGACGCCCCACTTAGCGTTTCAGCTCTGTCCACCGTGTCTTCTGAGGACAAAAGGCGGACAAGGGAGGGGACTACCCATCGGCTCTGCCATCTGTTTCCTTCTGGCTTTTGTTTTGTTCTCCCCTAAGGCCCGGCCAGGATCTAACTTCTGCACCACTGTCGCTGTGGGCCCTTGTTTGGAAGGCTCCCTGGTGGCCTCCCGGGAGCTTCTGCATCTGCAGCAGCCGTGCAGCACTACCTCTCCACCGCCCCAAAACCTGTCTGCACAATAGCAGGCGCTTCACCACCAGCGGGTGGGTGGTCCAGGCGGTGCCTACGGAGTCGCCCTTCGAAATGTGCTATAGGTCAGCAAGCAGCGGGGTGGACATCTCAGTCAGGGAAGCTGCTCACCTGGGTCACCCAGGGTTTCCCAAACCCACTTGGGGCCGGAGAACTTTGCTTTCCTGACGTGTGTGGAGGCCTCCTAATGTGCAAAGTCGGGATGGTCCAGAGCGCACGTGAGCAGCTGTTAGACGTCCCCACGGCACCAGCCCCGATGGAAGGCGACCTCTGGGGCTGTGCTCACCCGCCCAGAACCTTCCTTCCTGCAGCCACATGGAGCATGACTGGACAAAACAACCCTCAGGGTCTAGGGCCACAGGGTGCAATACTGCAGCAGGAGGGAGGGGGCCTCACCTGCCAGCTCCTCATCCAGTTCTTCAAGGGTTTTCTGGAACCTCCCGGTGATAGACAGGTCTTCCTCACCGTCGGAGGTTAGGGCAGCTTCAGGTCTAGGGAAGACCAGACAGAAAGGAAGGGCATTCATTTCTCTCATTCTCTTTTTTACTCTTTTCTGGAAAGACGTGAGGAAGGCACAAGGCACAGTCATGTTCGCTCGTGGGGGTCCTGCAGCCCCCGGGGCACAGACCAGGGGTGTGTGTGTGTGTGTGTACACGTGTGTGCACGCAGAAGCAACAATGACAACAGCAGGACGGTGATGACCGCCCCCTCGAGACTGGAGGAAACACCTCCCAGGAGCCCAGGGCAGCCTGCACCCACCACACATGGGACTGTCGCACGGATTATCTGGTTATAAACCCCACAAGCCATGTATAAGGCAGGTAGTGCTCTCGTTGTTTACAGATAGGAAACCAGGTGCGGAGAGACGGAGACACCCGCCCCAGGTCACCGGGGCTCCAAACCCCAGCGGGGGGCAGGGGAGGGGGAGCCGGCCAGGTCTGGGGTCCAGAGGCACGATGTGGCCCCCGCCACCCGGACATCTAGGAAGATGTCAAGCCGCCCGCGGAGGAGAGCCGGATCTGGCCTTGCGTCACCGGGACAGTACCGTCCACGGGGCGACGAGTGCCAAAGCAATTTCAGGGCAGCCTTTGCAAGGGCTCTCGTCTCTGTTCTCTCCACGGCGAGAGAACAGAGACACGTCGGGGGCCATTGTCTCCCTTCCGTGAAAGCCGGAGGTCTTTTCCGCTGATTGTTAAAATTGAGGACCAATTTCCATCGTTGCTAATCAGGGCCAGATAATGATGCACCACATGGGCTCTCCGCAATCCTCACTTACGTAGCAGAGTTTGTGTTCTGATAAATGAGTCTTTTTTACTTGGTGGCTGTGTCCTTTCAGGAGCCAGGAAGCGGCTTCCAGATTAGTCTCCGCTAATGTCCTTTGACAAGCCAGACAAAAGGGGCTGGTTGGGGATGTGTGGGCATGTGGGCCAATTACTAAGGATCGGACGGAGCAAAGGCTGCTTGCCGACCGCTCTTGCTGGGGCCCTAATTGAGTGCATTTTGTTAAAGTTGTGGTTTTCTCTTTCATGGAACGTGACGGTTTAAATACATTTAATTTAAATAGGTAACAAAGTACGGGGCAGAGGGTTTTTTTTTTTTTTTTTTTTTTTTTTTTTTTTTTTAACGCACGGTGCTCCGTAAGATTGTATTTGAAACCGAAAACCGCGCTTTTTAAAATGCTTGCTCTACGTTTGGGGATGCTTAAGGCCCAGCTAAACAAAATCCTCCATGTGTGTTTGCTTCAAAGTACTTGCTTTTGCTTCAAAGTACGCCAAGCCACAGAGCTCTAAGACAGCAGGGCGATATTGGCACGAACTAGAAACCCATTTAAGATAAAAATCCCACTAATGCCGTCACGTTATAAACGTTAAACTAGAAACAAGTCACCGCAAGCTGACGAAATGCAGCGAAGCGGAGACCCTCGCACATGTTGCTACCGGAAAGTCGTGGAAATGCGCGTCGAGAAACCAAAACATCACGTTAACTTGGTAAGAACAGTTGGTTCACGAGTCTCCTTTGGTGAGTTGCCTTAAGGAAATGATCCTGTAGCAAGCGGAATGCAAACACGAATGATGTTCGTCGAGTTTATGGGAGGAATTCCAGAATATCCAGCAACACTGCGTGTGGATTTGAAAGGGCTTTAAAATCCATCAATATGACGAGCCTGGAGTCCATGTGGAGACACAGATCAATGCTTAAGCCAGCGCGGTTACATGGGAAAAAAAATCTAGAAATAGCACACACCCATGGACGAGGGTGGTAGAAATTCAGACAACCACCACCAACCACTGTGATTTGTTGAAATGGAGGAACTACACTATTTTATCATTTTTGCCATGGATTCTATAGCTTGAATGCTAAGCAATTTCTTAGCATATTTTTATAGACTATATTTATTGATTAGAGAAAGAGAGAGGGAAACATTCAGGCAGATTCTGCACTGAGTGCAGAGCCTGATGCAGGGATTGATCCCACGACCCAGAGATCACGATCTGAAATCAAGAGCTGGACTTAACCGACTGAGCCACCCAGGTGCCCCATTGGCAATATTTTAAATATTTTGGGGCCCTTCTTGACCATGAATGAGAACTCTTTTTTGCAAACTAGTTCACATTTTTGTGAAAGGGTGCACGATACGCAGGGTACATCGTGCTTACGGTTTGATTTTGTTACCAGTACGGAACAATCCCAGTGAGGAGCTGTCAGCCTGACAACCATAAATGGTGGCAGAGACCAGGCCTGCGTGAGAGCTCTTTGTCTTTCTCACAGCCAGACCCGAGCCTGAGGCTGCCCCCTAAGAAGCCATGAGGAGCCAGACTCCAGGGTTTGGGGCTCCTCAGCTGTTCCCCACTCTGCCACAGTCCGAGCCTTCATGCTAAAGTCTGGGGACCCTGCGCCGAGTCCTATTCCCTCCTGCCTGCTTCTGCTCCCTTGCACCCCCTCACCTCTGTCGGCCTCTGTCGGCACAGACTCCCCCAGGTGCCGTTGCTCAGTTTTGGCTCTGCTGACACCGTCTGATCCCCCTCTGCCCGCCTTGGACCTCACATGGTCCTGTGACCAGACCCTCCGACCTGGGCCTGGTTCCTTGGAGCCCTGCCTGCACAAGGAGATGGGGTAGACATGTGATTGGAGCCAGCAGTCTGGGAGGGAGGGAGGGTCTGCCCGCCGTCCTTGGCCAGGTATTGCTCCCGAGGCTGCAGACCCCCTGGTGTCTCTAGGCCTGGAGACCACTTGGCTCCTCTCTGATGCAATGCAAAGTCCCTGTGCTCTGGGCCCTGCGCTTCTCACAAATGGATTATTTGGCAAAACCTGGAGTCAATGCCAACACACCTATGTTGCCAGCTCATGTGAAATTTCCCGAGGGAGGGATTCAGCGCTATCTGCTTTTCCTTCCTCACCCAGCCCTGTCTACTTGCCCCCAAAGGGTTAGTCATGGATTGCAACCCTTCCTCTGTCCCTGCAAAAATCAGGTCTAGGGAAGTTCGTCCCAGAGCGCGAGGCCGGCATTCTGTGGGCTGAGCAGGTGAACCCAAGAACGTGTGTCCCCGGAGGCGGCAGCTGGCAAGGGCTGTCCGCTCTCTGGAGCTGAAAGTGAATGTGCACAGATGTTGCTCTCCTGGGCACCGTCCGCACCCCCAACATACCCCAGTCTGCAGCTAGGCTTCATGTTGACAGTCTGTTTTGGCTCAAGACCAAGAAAAATGAAGAGCAAACAAACCCGGCACAGACACCCTGATACCGAGTTGCACACGCTGAATAAACAGCACCAACAGCCTTTTCTCACATGGAGTGTGACTGCCGTGAGCACGGCGTGCAGGCCACTGCTGCGTCCACCGCGAGCGAGGAAGGGCAGGGGGTCAGGGTGTCGGAGTGGCCGAGCCCCGGCTTCGGGCAGGAGGACGAGGAGGAGCAGTCCTGTCAAATCAGACCTCGGTACGTAGATGTTTTTTGTTTTTGTTTTTTTGGTTGTCATTTTATATGAGAAAGAACAAAAAAAGAGCATGGGCTGATTCTGACCCATTCAGTCACGTGAGGTCATTTCTCCCTTTTTAAGAAATTTTATGTATTTATTTGAGAGAGAGAGTGCAAGTGGGCGTCGAAGAGAGAGAAAAAGAGGAGCTTCCTCAGCAGGGAGCCCGGCGTGGGACTCGATCCCGGGACCCTGGGATCATGACCCAAGTAGAAGGCAGATGCTGACCAGGCTGAGTGGTCATTTTTCTTTTTGACGTAGCTAAAGGAGTTTCTTTAAGTAATTTATCCGATGATAGAATTAAAAAAAAAAAAAAGTCCCTTTCAGGAAGTGATTCAATTTGCTGATGACAACCAAACCGATTCATGCATTTTCACAACAATTACTTGATACATGAAAGGCAAGAGGCTTGGGGAAATATACAGTTGATGACACTCATATGTACTTGAATTCCCATCCCGTTTACAAGCGCTCCTGTATTTATGGAGCTTCCGAGTTCTAGACCCACCGTGTCCCCTAGAAGTGGAACGGGAGCCACAGGTGTCATTTAAAATCTTGTGGTTTTGGGCAGCCCCGGTGGACCAGTGGTTTAGCGCCGCTTTCAGCCTGGGGCATGATCATGGGGTCCCGGGATCGAGTCCCGCATCGGGCTCCCTGCATGGAGCCTGCTTCTCCCTCGGCCTGTGTCTCTGCCTCTCTCTGTGTGTCTCTCATGAATAAATAAAATCTTAAAAAAATAAAAATAAAAAAAATAAAATCTTGTGGTTGGAAAAAAAAAAAAACAAACCCACCCACCCCCAAACCACAAATCATAGTCCCATTAAAAACAGTAAGGAGAAATAACTGAGATTAATTTTAATTAAGCATTTTAACTTCGCCTTTATAACACCTTAATTAGCACACTTGATTTAACCCGATACCTAAGCCACATCATTACCGTCGTTACTTATCATCAAGTAATTAACAGGAAGAGTTCTTTCCTTCACCGAGTCTGTGCATTCGACACTGAGAGGCACAGGTTGTGCTAGATCTGGAGTGGTTGGCATTTATTTATTTATTTTTGGAGTGGTCTTTAAATGCTCCTTCGCAAACGTAGTTACAAAGCATCCGGGTTCCAGGAGGCAGTCGGTGTTTCTAAGCGCTCTCCGGTCGCGAGGTTCTAGGGTTCGAGAGGTGCGAGATGCTTGCACGCGCTGCTGGTCACGGAGTTCTTGTGGCTTTAGGGTCCTGGGGCCCCGGGCCAGGACTAGCTGCTGGAAAGGCAGGACCCAGTCTCTTCCAGCCCCTCCGTGGGCCTGAGCAGCCTCAGTGCCTCGACGTGACCCCAGAAACTCATGCCCTGTAGGGCCTAGCAGGGTCTACTTCTAATGTCCTTGTGCCACGACACGCTGTCAAGTGGGGCTCCAGGCAGAGGATGGGGGCATGGGGGATGGCAGGTAAGGCAGGGGGGCCCCTACTCCTAGAAGGGCTGCACCTTCTGTCCTCTGGGGCTCCATCCCTGCCTTCAGTGGGGTCCTAACA